CTTCCTTCCTTCCCTGCCTCCCTGCCTCCCTGCCTCCCTGCCTCCCTGCCTCCCTGCCTCCTTTCCATCAGAAGCCCTCAAATTTGGAAGGCTGTCAAGCCCATTTGAAATCTTCAGATGAGGCCTTTTAAATGGTTGCCATGAGGGATAAGCCTTTCTCATTCACAACAAGGGTGCCATGGAAGATTTGGCCAGTCCCACATCTATTGCATGACACTAAAATAAGCACAGTAACACACACATATGAGAAAAATGACAAACTATACATTTAGCAAAGGCAAAACATCCCCTACCACCTGCTGTAATTCCTTTGGACCCTTTTCTATTGTTCTAGCAACATAAAAATGAACCAACCATTGAACTGTAGCCACCCTATTATTATTTCCCAAGAATGCCATTTTTAGGCCCCAGAATTATTCTTGCCAACCAGCATGACACTGGCTGCTGGCACTTCTCTTTGCAGCCCACCAGCCGATCCAGATTAAGAAGGGGCAGAGAACCTGATAGACGCCAAGGGTAGTCTTACATTGGTACACCATGTGCACCTTAAGTAAATTGTATGTTCATCATACCATAACATATGACACCTAATATGCAAAGTGCACTTTTGTAGAAACACTAGGTCTGAATGGAAGCTATTTGTCAATAGAAATAAATTCTATTTGTCATAGAAACTGAAAAGATATTTTATGGATTTGCATATAGATAAGGGATGGGTTATGGGAAGAAGAGATACTTGTTTGTAACCTTATAGGGGGTCAAGAGCTATCAAATTTGCCTTTACTTGTTGTGATGAAGATTGGAAGTCACTTCTTCACATTCTTTCTTTTCTTTTTCTTTTTTCTCTTACTTTCTTCTTTTTCTTTTTTCCTTTTTATTTCTTTGCACTCTTTATTCTTTCTATTTCTTTTTCTGAGTTTAGTTTGTATTCATTTTTGCAACTGTAACTAAAATCTTTAATAAAAATTATGAAAAAAAGAAGCAAAAGGGGGAATAAACAAAGAAAGGCAATTGATGAGTCATATCCACTGTAAAGAACTTAGTTATGCTTTAATTGTCATTTCTTACACTTATAACATTATTTTTATCATGCTAGAATGTACAGGCGTACATCCAATATGGTTGGACTTAGCTACCCCCCAGCTGTAATTGCAGTGCTAAAGGTAATGCCAATGAGCCATTTTCTCTTATAAAATACTATAACAACATTATGGTCTTGACTGGGTTTCTGCAGTATACTTTTTGTTTTCTCTAAAGTTTAATTCTCATATTCGATGGAATCTGTTTAAAGAAAAAAAATATAAACAATATATTTGATCATCATAGCCATCTATTCCTAACCTTGGTGTTGCCAAAATGAAGAAATGTGCATTGTGACCTCTCAATACAAGCTCTGCCCTTTTGTACTTGTGCCATAATATTGCACGTAAGTACATAAGGGACAGAGTGCATCATTATGTAAATTTTGTCAAAAGTCCCCCCTTGCACCCTATGATAATTTACCTTAACAAATATATTATGAAACTGTCATTATCTTACATATGCATATTTACTTGAGCATAAGCACTCTACCAGCGGTGACAGTTTTGTGCAGCGAAGGAACAGTGTGTGTTGCTTTGCAATCAACTAGATCTCAGGTGTAAGAGAGTCTTCTTTCATGTGCATATCAGTGCAATTGCAACCTTTTAGTAGTTCTTTCTCCTCAAAATGAACTGAAACTTTGTATGCACTTGCAGGCATTTACATGGAGATATAAAACATTATTTGAGTCGGCAAATGGAGTGGAAGAATTCCCATTCAACTACTGTTTCAGCTCACAACTGTTGACATTAGCAAATGTGGATCAGGCCTGAATCCTTGATTTCAGTACATTCTTTTTCTACATAAGGGAATTAAACTTGCAACCCATCTTTCCTATGGCTGGTATCTTCGGTCAGCTACATTTGTCAGTGAATCTGTATACAGAGGGAGTTCCATGGAGCGATCCTTCAGATCTTGTGTTAACCCTAAAGAATTGAGAAAAACCCTCGCTCATAGAAGAGTAAAATGAAATTTTACTATTTTACATAGTGACCTGAATTCACTGTAATTGTAGGGCAGCTGCTAAAAATCACATGTGGCTTTAGGAACATTTGCAACTGATTTTGGTTTAAATCACTTCTAAGTATCCATATGAATGAATATCAGTGTAACCTGTATTAGCAGAATTGCACTTATCCAGTTGGATGTAAAAATTTCCTTACTATGAAAAAAAAAAAAAAAGCCCTGCTCATTAGAGACAATTTTCCTGTTAGAGGAAGTTAACTTTTTCATTTTTTCTTTTTCTTATTTGGCTTAATTAGAACTGAACTATATGTTCAGGATAATAAATTATACGTTGTTTTATCAGTGAAAAGCAAGCTAGAAAATGTAAATATCAATAAATGAATTTGCATGTCCAAGAAAAGAGCTTATTGTTCTTATCACTTGAAATGTCAATGGTAGACTGGAAGCATCACAGATTTTAAGTCTTCATAATGCCTACTTGCTCTAGAAATGGACACTGCCAACACAGTTCTTTTGCGGATTTGAATGCAAATATTTTTTGTATCAACTGTAATCAAATGACATCCTTGTACCAGACTCTGAAATTCTTGCCTTACCTTTTGAGTCTGGTTGACGTCATAAAGTGTGTGTATATGTGGATGCCTGTACCCATACTCAACACACATTCAAATTATTTCTCCCCAGACTTTGGTCTGAAATTAACTCCCTGTGAAAATATTCTTATTAGATTTTAGGCTAAGACAACTTTACTATTTACAAATGGCCTGTGAAGAATTGTCCTTTTGTCTTCTTTCACAGCTGGAGTCAAATCATACATATGCATGTATGAAAGTCAGTCATCTTGTTTTCCATAATTAGAATACCTTGGGGAAATAGGAACTAATCTGCAGTAGAGGCTGAACATAGCACCAGAAGATTCCAATCTGGAAATTTAAATCTTTTATGCGTTATTACAGACATGTAGGCTCACTGTCCATGATTAGCTGCAAAATAAAATGGCAAATGCCAACATGAAGTCAAATTTTCAGATATTTCCCTTAGAGTTTTTGTGAATTCTTTGTCTGGAGATAAAGGAACTGAAAGCCCTGATACTTTTTTCATACTGAAGATAAGGGATAGCTAAGCTAGTTATTAAATGTGTTCTCATGTTTAAGTAGATTGAGTTATGCTTTCACTAAAAAAGAAAAGAAAAAAGCAGATGATTTATGGGAGAAAAGCCAGCAATCTTGTACCTTAATGTTCCTCACAGGGGTGTTTTAAGGTAAAGAAAAGGGCTTCTTGGAGAAAAGGCAAGATAACAATTTAATTTATGTACCTCTATTAAAATATTCCCTGCCTAGACTTTATAGGGAGATAGACTCACACTTGGGCCTTATTACTGACATGAGTCTTTTCCACCATTACAGTTTTATTTAGAGCAATTTATATGGGAAGACCCAGGTTTATTTCTAGATAAAAATCTTAGAATGCTAGAGATTAGGGCTGTGATTACAGTGATATAGATATCTTTAGGACTGTTCTGAATTCATTTGATCAATCAATTCTAAACACAGTAATATTGAATATGGTATTTGCTTATTCCAAAGTAGGTACTCATAAGTAAATAAAAATTAAACACCTATTGTTAAACTGACAGTCATGACAGCTATCCAAAAAGAATTTCCAAAGATCACTTTACCAAGAGATCCCTCAAACCTAAAGCTGGCCCATTACAAATAAATCTTGAAATGAATAAAATTTAAATAGAGCCAGTGGCTGATAGTTTGCAGTTTAAATGTTAACTGAATGATCACTCAGGGTACTTAGAGCTCAGCTTATCTGAATATGAATTAGGAAAATTCTAACTCAGCATGTTGTGGACCGTCCCATTTCCCAATGTTAACATTACAGAGAATCAAAAGCTATCATCTCAGACCATTTTTTTCACCTACCACTATGCTTCTTCTACTTACACATCGGTGAAGCTGAATAAGGGCATTTTAGAGTACAATGATGGTATTTACTTCTATTTTCAAAGCATTATTTGAAAATATTAGGTGATAGATACCATGACAGCATGGGTCCTTCCTACTGTATTGCTTTTCTGATTGCTTGGTATTTCCACTTAATCTGAAAACACAACAGGAAATATTACAGCCAGATTACATTTGGGATATTCATTCATAATGTAATCAAATATATGATATGAGTAATGTTAAATGAAATTGTAACTTTCCTTGTAATTTGTAATTCAATAGGGTATCTTCTTGTCAATGTTTCTTACATTTATATACTTTTCTTCATATGGATTAAAAACATAGAACAAAGATTCAAACCAGTCTTTGGTATTAACATAACATTAACATAGGTTGGCATAAGCAATAGTTATTATTATATATTTAATAATTAAACAGTAAAAAATGTGTTTCTTTCTTACTTCTATGTTGTATTTCTGCTACATAACCATCCAGGCAGCATGCAACAAATTAAATAAAAATGAACAAAAAATTAAAAATACTTCAAAACATTAAAACCAAAAGGAAATCCTGGATTGTAGTTGGAACATTGCAGTGACTGAGCACCATGTTAGAATAAGCAGTCATAGGGTATCTGTATTTGTCTATCTGCTGTTTTCCCTCTACCCACACCCCGCCGTGGACAGAGAATCGCTTAAATATTCTTGCAGATGAGAGGTATAGAAAAGTATGGGTGGGGGGATTTATGATTATGAATTTTTGGATCATAAATTCTGCCTGCTCTTCTGGCTTGAGCGTGGCATCCAGTGGCATCCATAACAAGCCACAACAGTACGTGATGCAAGTTCTTCAAAGTAGCAAATTCTGAAACACAAATAGATGAATTTCTGGCTTTATCAGAATCAAAACAGAACTCTGTAATTAACATAAATGTGTGTGTGTGTGTGTGTGTGGAGGGGGAATCAACAACTCCAACTCTGAGTGTAAGTGGAGTACTTAAAATTACCAGAATTCTATCACGTCAAACTCAGAGCACATTATCTATTTTATATTAAAGTAATCAGAAATAAATAGTAAATATCATACCTTGAACTTCCTGAAGGGTGTGTGTGTGTGTGTGTGTGTTCTTTTGTGCAGATGGTAAAGAGAATATACTAATGCCTTTTTTTCCCTTCACACAGAATGTAGACAAGTGGTCATTTGATGTATTTGCATTAAATGATGCCAGTGGGGATCATGCACTGAAATTTATTTTCTATGAACTGCTCACACGCTATGATTTGATCAGCCGTTTCAAGGTCAGTAGTCCTGTACCTTTTCCTTTCTCCTATTCCATAGATTATTGAAAACGACATATCAATAATTTATATTTCTGATTTTCTTTTGTCATTGTTGTTTTGTATTTTGGCTGCTGATTACAACACACTTGTCCCCTGATTTACTTAGAACGTTCTTAATATTGCAATTAACTAGAGCTGGCCAATTTCAGAAATCCATGATTCCATTGTATATGGAATGAAATTAGTAGCATTAAAAGGCTTCTCCAAAGGAAAACTTCCCACCATTAATATTCCAGATATTATGGCCTACCTACATCATACTTTCTGAATTTATGATTTTCAATATTCTTTGCTTCCTATTGCTATCCAGCTTATTGTGGCTTATTTCTCCTCCATTCTGTCTTCAAATTCTATTTGTGGGCCAGACATGAACACACTCTGAGGAGTAGTTGCAAGGAGCTTTACTTAGGATTTAATAAATAGAGGCAGGGCATGTGTGCAAACACACGCATAGAGCAGCAAAGTCCCAATCCCTTTGTTTGTTTCAACAGCTTGTTTCCAAAGAGGTTTGTTGTTGTTGTTCAGTCGTTAAGTTGTGTCCGACTTTTCGTGACCCCATGAACCATATCACGCCAGGCCTTCCTGTCCTTCACAAATGGCCAAAGTCCAAAGTGGGGGGTGGGCTATAGTCCAGAAGGCCAAGAGTCTGAACATGGGTTGTTGGTCCAAGTTCCAAGTCCCGAGGAGCAGAGTTTCCACAGGCAGCAGGTTCAGGAGGGAAATGCACAGAGTTCCAGCAAGTGGAGCAGTTCTTTACAATAGAGAACTGCTGGGCAGTGACAGGTCTGAAATGAGGCCTGCACCATATGCAGTCAATCAAGGGCAGGAATGCCCTGGCTGCACAAGAAGCCTTCTCTGTTCTGCTCTGTGCTCAGCCTTATGTGCTCTAGGGCTGGGAAGAGGTCCTGGATCCAATTCCTCACCTTTTTCTGCCTCGGGCAGACTTGTATATTCCTTGGCCATGTCAGCCTCTAATGCCTGATTGCTAGGCTCCCCCTGAAACTGGTATTCATACAGGGTATCTTGAGCGCTTATTCCATTTCAGACTCTTCTGAAGCTGAGCCGTCCATCATGCTAATGAGCTTCCATTTTTAATGGCACGGCTTTGAATGTGATGATGATTGGGAGGGAATAGGGAGTGCAATCTTTCACCTGTCATTCTCTGTACTGATATCTCATTTTCAACAGAACTACTGGATGTTCTCTAATGGGGAAGTGCAAAAGCTACAATCATATAAATAGGATTAAATAGCACAAGTGGTTGCTCCATTAAACTACCTGCGTTTTGGGAGACAAAGTGTTATGTGGGTCCAACATAGCCATTCCAGGAAGTAAAGGAGAATAAGCTTCCCTTTTTCAAAGATCCCAGACAAGTGCTGCTATAAGCATCCTAGGTGAAGAATTTAATCCTTGTTCGTGACTGTTTATCCTCTCCCTCCAAATCCATTCAATTCTCTATTAGTGTGTCTATGTATTTATATAAATATAAGAATTCAGCCTTTATTTATTTATTTATGGACAGTAGAGTACAGTATATCTCTACAGAATCCGGACCTTAAATAATGAAAGAAAAACTTCATGTAATAATGTCCATATTACTCTATAAAGCAAAAGAATACAATACTGCCTCTGTCTGCAATGGTAATTGAGCAGAAATTTGCGACTCTCCTGGAAAGTATCATTGATTTAACAGCTACAATGAATCAATTACAATTTCTAGGAGAGTTACAAAATTGATTTAACAACTACAATGTGAAGAAGTGCACAACAATGTACTAAGCGGAAGGGGAAAAACCCCCCACAAGATTGCCCCTTTTACCCTTCTTTATTTTTATTTTTATTGGCATTAGAACCATTATCAATGAAAATACATTATGAAGTTAAAACATCAGGAGTTAAATTAACTCAAGGGCATGAATTGAAATTATATGTTGATGATATTGTATTTACAATTCCACAACTGAAAGTTTACTTAATACTATTAGTTGAAGGTATACAGCAATATGGTCTTGTGTCCAGTTAAAAAACTCAAATGTTGACATGAAATTTGGTAGAGGAAGAAAAGCAGTATCTCTACTTTGTATCAGAGTTTAACTTTACTATAGAAAAGGTTAAATATTTAGGAATTTACATGAAAAACATATCTGGAATTTATTTAAAAATAATTACTTATCATATTGGAAAAGTATAACAGTATAAATTTCTCCAGATGTGATAAATTAAATCTGTCTTGGCTAGGTAGAATTTCAGCCATCAAAATGAATATTTTATCAAGACTTAATTTTCTTTTTTCAAATGATTTCAATATATACTGAAAACAAGATTAAGTGATTGGCAGATATGGTCCAATAAAAGATCAAGGATTATATTCAAGATTCTACAGAACTCAAAAGTGCAAGATAGTTTAACTAATCCAAACTTTAAATTGTATTCTCATGCTAGCTGCTTAATGTGGATTTTAGAGTGGATTCTACTTCCTTATTCCTTGGCTACATCTATGGAAAGAGCAGGACTTTCAGATGGTTTGCATAAATACCTCTGGGTTGACACAAATAGAAACAATAGAAACAAATAGAAATAAAGATCTATAAGAGAGATCTTGCAATAATAAATAATATATTGATTATCTGGGATAAATATAGAAAAAAATCAGTCTAGATTTGTTTCCTCTCATATTGTTATTAATTGTTTATTTTTATGAAGGTACCAAGAAATTTGTTCAGTGGAAAGCTAACAATTCATTCAGATTGTAGGATTTAATTATTATTTAATTTATTACTTAATTATAGATTGTAATAATTTAATTATTAATAAAATGAAGATAAAATCCTTTGAAACTTACTTCACAATGGTTTACTATACCTGATTAGTTTCAGTATCTTCAAATATGTAGCACAGTATCAAAAGAATTGCAGAAGCAAAGGGGAATACTGGGAGATTTGACTGAATTTGAAGATCATATAAGTTGTAACTCAGAACATTTGTTGATGATAAACTGCTAGTGTAATATAACTCAGAATCCGAACAGATCAAAGATTGTATGGTTAAATGGATCCAGAATTTTAATGCAATAATAGATTCAACAATGGACACCTCAATGGAAGAACATTTAGTTGATTCCAAACATCATACTCAGAGAAAATTGGTATAAGAAGTTTTATCATTAGTACATTGCCCCAGTTTTATTGCTAAAATGGATAATTCATTTCCAAAAAATTGTCAGAAATGTAATGGAGGGGTCAGATATATTTTTCTATACTTGCCATAAAGCTCAACAATTCTGGAAAATAATTCATACTGGCATGAAACAAATCTTTAAAATTAAATTCCTATTTCAACCTATGATATTCTTATTAAAGTTCACCAGTCCATATATCTCTTAAAATATACTGAATTAGCTTTATATATAACTCCTACAAGGATATAATATGCTTCTTACTGGAAAGGTCATCTGATCTCTTCAGTGGAAGACTGGCTAACCAAGTTATGGGAATACTGTATGTTTTGATGTCCAGAATAACTTTGTACCTTAAAAACAAATCTGAAACAGAATTCAATTCAAACTGGAAATCATCCTTAGACATTGTAATATGTGGATTGGTGCAACATCCAAAATGTGGGCTTTCTATGCATAGAATAGAATTTTATTTTATTAATGCAGTGAATCTTTTTGTTACAAACATAATCAGTGAGACAATAGTATTGCAACTGTTAATAGCTTTTGAGAAATCAGTATAGATTTTTAGTAATGTGGACTGAACTTACTACAGTGTTATTCATTATTTATTATATCTTGACCTTGATTCTTGATATTCATTTTAGCTTTAATAATGATTCTTAGTTTTTTAATGTCTTCTTCTGAATTTCTGTGTTAGTTGATGAATAAAGTCATAATTAAGTATTTGCACCAAATTGTATAAATTAAATAAGAAGGACATGGAACAGCGATATGGTTTTACTCAACTCTGCTGCCATCTTGAATGAATGAACTGTATGTGTAAATGAATTAAATAATATTGGTCCCCAACAGTCAATCTTAACTTAATATTGGCAAAATCACAAAAAGTTCCAAAAGTACAAAGAAGGAGACAAATTATGCCCAGTCTGCTAAAAATTGTAGGCAAGTCGTATGGGAGACATTTTTATGCAAAATTGATGGACTAGATGTTACAGTTCAGTGTGGGGAAAATCCATCTATTTTCATACAGTGGAAATTCTAAAATCAGTGCTATGCTAAAGCGAAAATTGGTGATAACTTTCATATTATAAAGCAAGCAAGAAAAAAAACCCTGCATTTCCAAACTTATGAGTTAACCCATAACCTAGAGCAACTGAATAATGATGATAAGTTTCATATCTCTCCCATAACCCAGGATAGTGGTCTGTAAATAATTTTATAAAACTAGTTCTATAGTGTTATATTGAAGATGTTATCCATAGATTAAACATCTTAATTAAGTTTGAAAGAAAGTGCTGAGGTGGTTTTTAAAAATTTTTACTTATTAATATTAGTGAGATGTGGGGCACATTATATAACTCTAAGAAGATGCATTGGGTGATGGCATTTGCCTCAAAGGATGTCAGAATTTCCAAGCACGTGAAACAGTGTTGATGAAAATTTTGCTAACGTTAAAACAATCTATTGTGCTAAAGTTGTTTTTCACAATTTCACAATACCTTCTTTTCTGTGTTTATGTATAGATTCCAATTTCTGCTCTTGTCTCCTTTGTGGAAGCTCTGGAAGTTGGCTATAGCAAGTATAAAAATCCGTACCACAATCTAATGCATGCAGCAGACGTCACACAGACTGTTCATTACCTCCTTTTTAAGACAGGTGTTGCGGTAAGTGGACAAATTATTTTTCCTAAGAGACCAATATGGAAATGGTTTGACCATGGAAGGTTGACATAGGCAGGTTTGAAGGTATTTATGGCATATAGTAAAATTTAGGTGTGCTAAAGTAGGTCTCTTTCCAAGCAGCAGAAGGTATATATTTTGATTGAATGCATGCCATTAAGGTGTTGTCAACTCTTAGTGACCACAAGCTTTTTATTAAACTGAGACTATTTGGAATATAATTTGTTGTTTAGACATATGTTAAGCGTAAGGTGTCTTTAGGAATTTTTCTAAGATATTGTTGAACTTAGGGTTGTAGGGTTCTAGAATTAGCTAAAAGTTCAGGTAGATTAGGATAACATTATTCATTGAGCTCTTTTATTAGTAGTTAGGGTAGATGGTCAACTCCAGAGTATTAATGTCATTCTAATCTTTCTTACAGAACACATTCAAGCTTTAATGTAATGTTATCATAAATCTGTTAAACTGCAGTCAGTAACGTAGTCTAGCAAAGACTTAGGTATGTAGGTCTGAACCTGTGTTGCAACTCAGACCACAAATGGCCCTACTCTCTAGGAGTTTGCAGTCTATATCTTTTTCTATATTAATTTGTTCAATATGACTTTCCCATAAGCTGATAATCCTTATGGTGCTATTGACCCATGTTTGGAACAATTTCATATAGGGTGTGCTAAAGATATACACGGAGTAGAAAATAAATTTGGTTTCAGTTTTGGGACAAAACAGCATATATTTCAGTGAACAAAACTTAAAACAGCATGACCTTAGGAAACAATGGGAGCTTGAAACAAAGTCACCAAAATGGTGGGGCACTACATGCTGCCTGTTACTTGCTACTCAACCAACAGGTTTGGCCAAAGGTTTGATCATTTAAAAAAAATATAAAAGAAATTCCTATAGCAAATTATGGAAGAAGCAGCTTTAACTTTTGTAACCTGTGAATGTGTGCTACATCTACATGTAGATGTAGTGGAAATCAAGAAATCCATAGAAATCTATGGAATATGAATATTTTTATGTTTTAAGATATCACAAACCCTTTATTGTTTTTACTACAACAACCAAATAATTGGCTATCTCTCTGGGTTGCATAATGACCTCCATGATACAAGCAGTTTGTGCCATTTCTGAATGCCTCTGCATGACAGAAAAGGACTATAAAAACATTCAGTAATAAAATATATAAAATATAGCTGTGAATCAAAGAATAAAGTGAAAATAAAGTCACCTATTCAAAATAGTAATAAATATACCAGGGCAATCGCTATGTTTCATGACATGAATCTAAAATTTACAGTCAATGCATTTTAGAATGTGCCAAGCAATCGTTTCACAAATGTGCTCACAGAAATCAGACACAGGCAAAAACATAAGCAAAGCTTTAATCAAGCGATATTTTCTCCTGCTTCAGAAGAACCCTGCATTCAGCATCTCTTTATATTTCTCACAGTTAATTAATATAGAATATAACATTAAACTGGGCAATAAAGACCCCAGCTGTGAATGTTATGTGGAAGCCAATTTCTGTCAGTTCATTTTGACTAAAGAAAACCCTTTGCTTTAAAGCTGAGTGTAAATAGCTACATGATCTTGCTCTGTAAAACAGCCATAGGTGTGCAGCTGTCTACTTCCTGATTGGTAGTTATCTCTTTATTGGAAGCAAGAAATCAGAGAGGCAGCAGGAAGCCTACGTTATTTTAATGAGTAACATCATATTGGGAAAGACAGCTGTCGTTGTCTTCTAGTAGATAATTGGAAATGCCAATTAAAAAAAGAGACAGTGAGAGACCAAGATAATCAGGGTCGTGGACATCTTTCAAGTATTATGTTGAAGAGAAAAAGCATGGATAGCAGAGGATACCATTCTTCCAACCAGTCTAGGAAGGAGAAATCCCTGTGTGCATGCAGTTAGACCGATATAATTTCTATGCATGCATCAGGAGAAAGAAAGTTTGTTGTTATATCCCATTCTATGCATTCCACATGTGTGAGAAGGGCTTTGACTTTACAAAGGTTTCCTACTGTAGTTTGGAGAAGTTAAAGACACTGTACTTAATCTACTGTCCAAATCAGTACACACAATCAATAGAAAATGGCCGTTGTTTGATTATTATTAGGTGTGGAATTTTTTCAGTTGCTGTGATATCAGCATGGTACTTTCAGATCAGAATATCATACTTTGCTGGTCTATTGTTCTTTATAGATCATTTCCTCCTTGTTCAGATCTATTGAAAATGATTTGATTATGTAGATTCATGCTAGGTCTGTGAAACATATTCAAAAGAGGAGACTCAGTGTAAGCATATCAGTTTGTTTCTTCTTCTATATTTAGAATCCAAATATAGGTTTTACAAAAGATTGTAATGATTAGACATTAGTACATGGCTAAGCCTATTTGTTTTGTGTTTTGTTTTGCTTCTGTCTTAAGAAAGGTTATTCCAGATACAGCAAATTCTGAGCAAGTTCAGCTTAATGTTTTTTCCATACGGGCCAGTGACATTTTTTTTATGATGATAAGACAGCTGAAAGAGCTTACTATTTGATGGAATCTCTTATATATTTTTCAAAAATTTTATGTATTTATTTATTTATTTAGCATATTTAATAGCTGCCCATCTCACAAACACGTGACTCTGGGCAAAGTACAACACATTCCTATATACACAACACAAGTAAATTCTATTTACTTGCTTGGATTTACTAGTTTGGGTTTACTACTTAAGAAAGAAAGATTGCAGTCTGTAAATTTGGTTGGATACTATTTAGACTGATGTTAGGTAATAGAAAATGTGCAAAACCAAGACAGGGCAAAATGTCAATAATTCCTGTCTCCAGTCCACATTCTTGTTCATGAAAACTTGAACTCTTTAAATACAATAAAACCAATAAGCCATCCTAAAGGCAATGCAATCCATGTGAATCATGATTACCAATGCTTCGGCCTCAAAAAAATGAAACAAAGTCTACAGAATTTTCTGAAGACCATTTGAAAAAGACTTTTGCCATGTCACATGGCTAGATTGGAAGACTGAATATAGCAAAATGAATTTTGCTCCTTTAACAGGGAATTTCAGGAAGGGCTAAAACCACAAGTTCGCTTTTCATTTTAGTTGAAATCTAAGAAAGTTTTTAAAACTAATAATTTCAGCTGGACTTGCAGCAACCAATATTTTTCCTGGATAGTTGTCTTGTTACTCTTGTAACTTTCAAATTTTATCTGAAGCATGCTCACATTATTGTATGCAAGCTAGAGACTACCTTACAAAACAACATATTGTTCTCTACATCCTGTCAGCTAGGATGTATATCCAATGTAATGACATGCACAAATCTATGTCTGTCTGTCTGTCTGTCTGTCTGTCTGTCTGTCTATCTATCTATCTATCTATCTATCTATCTATCTATCTATCTATCTTATCTATCATATTTTATTCCATTTTTTAGGACAACATATTTACATTTGTTTCATCAGCTTTTGAAAGTTTTTGAGGGATTCCTCTATATTAAGTTCAGTCATTGTGGACAACTAACCCTGAAATACTCTTTATAATTAGCTGTGCAAAGTACACATATGAAATAACATTTTCAAGATTAAACTGGGGAAAGACCAAATGGATGGGGATATTGTCAATGTTCTCAAGGATAAGATCCAAATCTCCAAATGTTTGCGATACAGTTTTCCAATAGTTGTGGATGGAATGAAGAAGAAAATGGACAGACCTATTCAAAGTTTATTTTACTGTCTGGATAGAATCTGAATAGTTTGTGTGGTGCCTTAAAATTCTGAAAAATCAAGATTGCCTATAGACCATAGTGCAGCAATTGGGTTAATTGCTTTTTAAATTCTCCATACTTGTGCAGGAGCTACAGCAGTAATAGTTTCAGACTCCAACATTCTTGGCCAACAGAAAAAGTCTGCCTTACTAAACAAGATCTTTTTAAACTTTGCAAGATAATATATTATCTGACTTCTCAAAAATCTCTTTCAGCACTGGCTGACAGAATTGGAGATCTTTGCTATGATTTTTGCAGCTGCTATTCATGACTATGAGCACACTGGAACTACTAACAACTTCCATATTCAAACACGGTGAGTGCTGAAAGTTGAGCTATGATCAAAGAAAACTGGAGCCATGTTGAACGGGAGTTTGCAATCTTGATTTAATCGTTTTAGATTGCAAAACCAAACATTGGGTATATTTGCTATGAAATTGTTAAGTCTCAATTTCATCAGTATAGTTCAAATTTGGCTTCTCACAATTTGACCATGGCCATCAAAATAAAGGACCAAGCTGGTAAAAAAATATGTAGTTGACAGTTTTAAATATGGAAATCTCTTTATATGTAGGAAAAATAAAGTTTTACCTACTAACTATTGTGCCTAAAAGAAATTAGAGGCTGGAATGAGAGTTTATGATATATACAGCTGCCAGAAAAAAGTGGTCACCTCATATCTACTTCTTTATCTAATTTCATATAATTTATTCACATCCTGACATCACAACATTTTGCTTTTCCTCAACCCTTCCAGTGGCATCTGGTTGATATTAAAAAATATTAAATCAATTACAGGTAGTCCCTGGGTTAAGAATGCCCGGTTTAAGGACAACCCATAGTTAAGAATGGAGGCTATGGTAGCAAAATGCTAGTTAAATAGACAATGATTCGAATTAAATACATAATGGTTTGAGTTAATTACACAATCCTACTTATACAGTATTATACAATAATACTGTTCTGGCTTACATACAAATTTGATCTAAGGACAAACCTTGGGAATGGAACTCATTCTTTAACTGGGGACTACCTGTGGTTATAGTTGGTAATCCGAAAGAAATAATATTGCATTATGAATATCTTTTGCTTAGCAGATTGATGAGTTTATAGCCACAATAATGAAATTTAGACACAGCTTTGCAGCACCTTTCTGTCATTATGCTACAGGACTTCTTTTCCAACGCGCTGGTATTTGGCTTTTAGGAAAAAAATGCACAAAAATGGCATTTGTGCAGCCTTTTGTCAGGACACATATGCCTATTAGTGATGTAGGAAGCACCAACAGCCACAGATGAATAAAAGGGTTTATGCTGTGTATGAAATGCATAATTAAAAATCAAAATATATAATTAGCTTTAATTCCGAAACAATAGCAGATAAGTTGCAAATGTATAATGTCGGCAACAATTTGGAGGAGGACAATTTCAGAAACATTTCTTCTGCCATAACTGAGTTTGTATTTGATGGTCTAAAAAGGATACAATGAACAAACCATGGCATTTTCAGTCTTAAAGGAAGGGGTATATACATAAAGACTATCATAGCAGTTTGGGAATGGAATAAATTGCTTGTTAAAGGCTATCATGTAGAGGCGGGTGAGCTATCACTTGCAGAGTTTGTCTTTCTGCATTGGGCTAGATGGTCCCAAGGCCCCTCCAATCCATTATTCTATATCCAAACATACGTGGCTTATTTTTAATTGGATACCGGTAATTTCAAGGGGAAATCAAATTCTACCAAATTTGCAGGAAACTTAATTTCTGAACAGTTGAAGCCATCAAATTTCATATAAAACAGGGCATACTTTTTTACAGTGTAAGCTATTAAACTGGAGTCCTTGGGGTTCTCTGAGCTTGGTTGTTTTCTTGCAAACATTTCAAAACACAACCAACATGAGCTATGAAAAGGATCACACTGCCATACATCAGAAACATCTCAGAAACTACCAACAGACT